GGCCCTGTTCACTTATATAATAACAGTACATAAAGTTACATAAAAGGACCAGGATGCCCCTGATTAGTGATGGGACACCCATTCAAATAAGACACTAAATAAAAATAGGCCCAGTAACTAAGGCCCATTAACTAAAGACTTAATACCCAACCTAGACAAGAGGATAACAAAATATCAGCCAAACCAACACCAAGCTTCACCCCGTATTCCATGTTTCACTTCTTAAGCAGTGCCTCAACTCAGAAACTCGAGTGTGTACCACCCTCCCCGAATTCTCAGAGGACAGGTTTCTCTAAATAGTTCCCCTTAAGGTGTTGGACTTTTGTTGTGTCAAGAAAGGGAAGAAGTTCGCAAAAGAAGCTTTGATTGCCTGGAATGGACTTAATCTTGATGACACCACTTGGGAATCTTGTACACAGATCCAGCAATAGTACCTTGGATTCAACCTTGAGGGCAAGGTTTTCTCGAGGGACGACAATTGATAAGAACCTACAGGACTCACGGTCTCAGGCCACTTCTCAGGCCCAGGACGAGGCCCACATTAGTAGCAGTCTAATGGTGGCAAACAGAGTGGATATTCCACACCCAGTTCATTTTGTGTATACCAATCACCAAAAGACAGGACACGTCAGCCTAGTTGGTTGGGATCCACTGTGAAGTCAGAATTGGTTAGGGCAGATTGTAATAAAGAGAACTATATAACGTTAGTAGAGGAGGAGAAGAGCATGCCGAGAATTATCCCAACTCTTTCTTCCTTCCCCTTCCTTATCTTCCTTATGTAGGAGGAGAACCCCCTCAAAGTGGTCCTTGCATTGGGCAATAACCCAACATATGTTGAATGTGGATGAGTGGATCCAAGAAGACTGAATTAAGCAATGACAATGGTTCAATCACAGAGTCACTCTCTTTCCTAAAAGCCCCTTCTAAAACCAAAATCCCAATTCAAGCCCGAAGAAAAGACAGAGTAAAATTTAGTAATGGGTTCCTTCTAACACTGAGAGAGGGAATAGAGCAAATGAAACTTCACACTTAAAGGAAAGTCACCCAACCAGACACATGCAAGGGTATTTCATATTTGACCACTGGTAGGTGGCCACCTCTTGGGTTGATTAACATCAATAACCGTTTTGATTAGATGGACTTATTCCATAGTATGTTATCTGGACACTCGTGGAAAAGAGTACTACTGTATTCAGACAATGTTGTTTGGAGGCTAGGACATTCGAGTGTAGCTCACCCATCACATCATCCAGAAACCTAGATTACTGTGCAAGTAGGAAATTTTGAAAGTGATATTTTCTCAAATATTACCCACCTAAAAGCTTCATACCTCAAGGAAAAAGAATATGACAAAAGTCAAAGAAAAAAGGAATTTCTAAACAGAATATATATATATATAATTAAATTCTAACAATTTTGCTTTTGCTGATAGAAAGTTCAAAAATGCCAAAAAAGGACCAAAAGTATGTCACATATTTTACTCATAACTGGCGTGTTTGTCAAGATAAATAAGAAATATTTACCACAACATCAGGTCGGATATTTTCCCAATCACAAGCCAGCATTCTCCCAGTACGTGCTATGCCAGTTTGTATTTCATCAGCAATCATTAGAACATTGTACTTTGTGCAGAGATCTCTGACATCTTTTAAATACCCATCTGGTGGAAGTATAACCTAGAAAAGAAATGAAAGAGAATAGTAAAAAGGATGTCCACGAAATACTACTTACCTTGTAAAAAATGAAAATCTAATATGCAACTTTTCAATTTATACAAGGAAAAGGAGCAGCCCAAAAAAGAAAAAAAAAATGTTGAATTCTCATGTTATGGCAAGGGACCTTCTTCTCCACATGAGTAGGAAGATTAACCGCTGCTATACAGCTCAAAGATTGAATGAAATTACTTCATTCAAAGTTAAATCCTAGGTCTGCATAGGAAATTAAGGAAGAAAATAACAGAGATCCCTCTATTGGGTTATCATGAAAATAGCTATCGAAAAATATTTAATACTTTCAGAATTATTGAAGTTCTGAATAATAATGGATATTTTGGGTTATATATGAAAATCGATATCTGCATGAACTCAGCCGAGTTAATGAGATCTTATAAAAGTTTATAGAGATTAATTTAGAGTTAAGACAAGGTGTTTAAGGTGCAGCCAAACTGATTCCACTGGATTAAGTTAGCAAATCAAGGAATGATTTCTTGAATAATCCACCAAAAAATTTTGAATAGAATCAGCCTATAATAAGTTCCAGCTTCATAGAACACATACCCCAGCCTCTCCTTGAATAGGTTCAAACAAAAATCCTGCTATCTGATTTCCTTTTTCTGCATCAAAAAAAAAAGAGAGAGAGACAAACAATTACACTTTTGAAACAACAATGATTTGAGAAATTAATAACAAATAATAAAAGTAAAGTCCAAAAGTTACTTTAGGTATACTTTAAATCTAAAAGGGCAATTACCCAATTATGATCCTAAACTGTTTGGGGTCTTGGGACTGGGAGGGGTAGAACATGCCTAAACTATGGCAGTTTTTTGCACAAAGTATCCGCTCTCAGACTCAAACTCACGGTCTCATGCTTGTTAGCCTGAGATTTTACCATTGCACCATGTAATGGCCCCTTAAGGAACATTACCAATGTTGGACCCAGCTCTCCAGGGTCTTGGAAGGGGTGGACTAAAATATGGACCTAACCATTGACATTTTTTGCACAAAGTGGCTACTCTCAGACTTAAAACTGCACTCTCATACTTGTGAAATGGCCCCTGGTATACTTAAACCTCTCATTTTGACTCAATTCAAGTAAGCCTTGTTAGTCCCAACTATACAAGGTTGGCTACATTAATCCTGTTCTGCCATCCCACTCTGTTGAGTGCTACATCCATTGTTAAATTGTGGGCCCTCAAACCATTTCCCACTACTTCCAACTCACGTTCATTTTGGCCTGATCCTAGCTCTACTAAAAAATACTTTAGAGGATCACATACGAGAAGCTGGAAATACATTTTGATGTTTCCCACCTATAAAATACCATAAACAAGAAAAAGAATAGGGTTGGCATGTCTGTAAATTGGTAATTTATCAAATTATTTAGAACAATCCAGGCATATCTATATATTTGATGGTTAAGAGAATCTTATTAGTTTGATTAATGAAACTTCCTTGGTTGGATCCAACAGATAATAAGTTACAACATGCATACCATATATCAGGTCATGTTTAAGCCTTTAAGGTACATCCCAACAATGAATTTAATGTTTTAGTTCCATGTAAACAAATACAGAAAAAAACACCAATATATTCTATGTATTTCATATCTGCATACCTTTAAAGATCCTCTCTAGTGCATCAGCATCACCAAAATCAACTTTAAGATGACCAGGCAACAACGGTCCAAAACCACGTGTAGCGTCATTGTCACAGCTCATAGAAATCACAGCCAAGGTACGACCATGAAAACAGCAACAACATGATACAATAATTGCCTGAGCAAGACTCAGTTTTAAGTCACTGGAGTTATTTGCCTTTTTTAGGGGAATAAAATAAAAATTAAATAGTGGATATATAAAAGCTTGATGAATCCTCTTCCACCAGGGCCCAGTGAAAGGTAAGGCCTACTCATGGTATTTACAATATCAAAGGGCCATAATCTCCTCATCACAATGAGAAATAACTTAGCTATATTATATTGGTGCACATGTGTGAATTGAGGGAATATGTACTAACATTTAGTTGAGTATCATACCCAACACTCTTCACTCCGAAGTCCTATCAGGAGAATTTTCATTGTATATAAGACAATGATGTTTAGTCTGCATTAAAAGTAGAAACATTATGAAAACTAATATATTCAATGACTATTCTATACCTCATCCTTGGGAATTTTTTTCTTCTCATAACCCCATTTTCTTGCCAACTTCAGTGCTGTTTCCACACCTTCAGCCCCAGTATTCATTGGAAGAACCATGTCATAGCCAAACATCGTTGTTATATGCTTTGCAAATATTGGGAATTGATCATTGTAGAAGGCTCTAGAGCTCAGAGTGAGCCTTTCTGCCTGTTCAACTAAAGCTCTAATGATCTTTGGATGACAATGCCCCTGAGGTTTAGATGCCACAGAGTTGAATTAATATCCAAGCACTATTTGGTAAACTCATTTCATCAACAGACTCCATTGAAAATGAAATAATTTAAAATTAAATTAACATTTTTTTCTCAAATTTACGCTTGAAGAAGGTTGGAGTCATGTATAGAATGAACTAAACCTGCCTCATGTTTAGAAGAATATGTCTACCTGATTAACAGCAGAGTAAGCTGAGAGGAAGTCCAGATATTTGTGGCCTTCAGGATCCCATACATGTGAACCCTTTCCTTGTGAAAATACCACTGGAATTGGATGATAACTGCATTTTGACAAGAAAATTTGAATTTAAATGACACCGAAACACCAAGCAACCTTTAAGAGACTACAACTAATAAATGGATGTAAATACTGACTTGCATAGAATGCCAGGCATGTATGCACATAGCCAACAATGAACCACAAAGACTAAATGCTCTACATGTGTGAGTGTATATGTTTTTTTCTCTTTGTACCTTCCTGTGGAGTAGCTTTAAAGAAGTATTAAAGGTTGATAGTAAATGCAAGTGGTTGTGGTTAGAACATAGAACAATGACGTTTCATCCATATGGAAAGAAAGTTGAGTATTTGGGCATCACTGATATCAAAGGTGTAACTCTATTTGTTGAAGAGTCTAGAAAGAAAGAAGCAGACCAAGAAAAAAAAGGGCTGAAGTAATGAGGAATAATTCGAGGGCCCATAGTTTAACAATAGATATGATACTGAACAGAACAGAATGGCGGAACAGGATTTGTGTAGCCAACACCATACAGTTGAGACAAGGTTTAGTTGAGCAGAGTTGAGTATTTATTGCAACTTTTTTTTGTCAAAAAGTTTTGAATAATCTTGTTTTTTATGCTTTTGGAAAAGTTTTTTGATATCTAACCAACATGTCCAAGATTATGCCCCTGTAGTTGATTTAAAAGACTTGCAGCCAAAATATAGACAGGTAATGAGTAACAGTTCTACTTGGCTTCTCAATTATTTAAAATACTTAATATTTTGCTTTCAGAGTAATCTAATTGTTATCTAACTTATATTAAGAGTAGTTTCTACTTTCTATTCAGCTTTAGTATCAAAATTTGATTCTAAATAGATGTAAGATAGTTTCTAGAAAAAAATTTGATAATGTCCAGTTTAAGCCTAATTAGGAAATTAAATATTCTTTCACCTTTTTCACATAAGCCAAAATACAAATTTAAGGATTTATGTATCTGATTGTCTCTCTGAAGCCCAAAAGTGATTCCTGGAACAACTACTTTAGGTGGTGCAGTCCATCATGCTCTTACACAAGATAGGTGCAATGATGACTCTTGTTCAATTAGAGAAAATCCCCTGGCTCTTTTCACTCTTGATTTTGATCTTTTTTCTTGAACCAGAAATCTTATTTTCAGTCATAGTTTATTGGTTTAAATTCCAAATTTTGTTTTAAGTTATTTTCTTTATTTTAAGTTTGTTTATAGACTTTGCTTAATCATTCACTAATCCTAAGAAAGGATTACAGTCCCTCAGAATTGTAGCTATCCAGCCTTGGCTATTACAATCCCTCAGATATACAAAAATCTATTTATACAAAATCAAACAATAGGAAGCTGTTAAGTTAGTTTGCCTTTCATTGATTGGGCATTGCTTCCTCTCTCAGAGTCACATTATTGCTGAGATCTGTACACGCTCTGCTCTATACTAAGATGCTGGTTTAAATATCTGGGTTAGATGTAGATGACCTCAAGGAACCAGGAAAACATTCATGGGCAAGGATGAAATCTACCTTAAGTATGGCAGGCATACATAATACACACTTTTTTTGGGGGTGGGGGTGGGGGGTAAAGGGCATTACACACCTCAATCACTAGTATATAAGAAGTTGTTTCCAGTTCTTTTTATTTCTATTTCAATGTCCAATAAACATCATACTGCTTAGTTGATTGATTCACTTTTAAGTTTTAATATATTGTCTGTTTTTGCTTTATCAATTTCCAGATTTACAAAACCTGTTTTAAACTGTCTGCAACAAGTATTTTCTTCAGATTTTTTTCCTGAAAAAGGATAAAGTAATTTTATTCAAAACACAACCAAAGATACAACAAGATTTCTAGAGCAGGCTACAAGAACACCAGATGCTCCACAAGTTTACAATTTTACATTTTGTGTAAGAGAAACAACAAACTAGAGAGAAAACTCCTTAGAGGCAGAAACCCACGACCCATTTTTTATCAGCAAAAAATATTAAATTAAAAGAAGCGTATTGAAGAAATACAACCACCAGCTCCCTAGAGCTGGCCCAGACCTCAAATATCATGCAAAGCCACCCAATATAATTGATCCCAAGAAACCTCGTCTTTGGCCAATGCATCAGGCATCAGCCAAACCATTTGCTGATCCATTAAACCATTTGAAAGAGGCCCCAACTTCAGATGCAAGCTTTTTTATTTCTCTCAATTCTTGTCTATACACCCATCTTCCCTGATTATTGTTTTTTAACTAACTCAAGACCTAATTTTACCAACAGCCAAACCAAGAAGATCATCCTCTACCCTGCTAATATTGTGGAACATCCTCATATTCCTCTCAGCCCACAAGGTCCACACAATTGCTGAAGGAATCATCTCCTAAATGAGCTTACCCTTCCTATTCAAACCATGAACTGGCCAGGCAAGAAGCACATCATTCAGGGATGGGGGACCTAGGCAACACCCACTTCAGATTAGTATCTCTTAAGAAGTCTATCTAGAAGCCAGCCACCCCTGCAGTGGACAAGAAGATGATTAACATTCTCCATGTCCAGCCACACAGCCCACAAGAACTATCTTGGATCCATAATCCTCCCTTTAAACAAGCTGTCCTTAGTTGACCATAGCACGAAACTGACTTGGATGGAACCATGGGGCATGGGCCACTATTGGGAATGAGATGTATCTGGGGTCTCAAGTTTCTTTCATAGGATCTGACAGTAAATACCCCATTGTTCTCACATTTCCAGCACCACCCATCCTCCTGCCCTGCTGTTATAGTTATATTTCTCAACATTTGAAGAAGGCCCAGCATCCCCCCCCCCCCATCTCCCTGTCTTGCAAGTTTCTCCTAAAACCTGGAGACCAGACCATATGATGTGAGATGTGAATCAATCCTCTTAAGTCTGGTATTAATTTCTGATTACAGCAATAAAAAAGGAAGAAAAGAAGAGAGATACAGTAGAAGAGAAGAAGAAGAAGAGAGTTCAATGGTGCCCTCTCTCCCCTCACTAATCTTTTATTAATCTGAACTAATCAAGATAATTACATGTATGCCCTTAAGTGGGTGGGTGGCCAGCTCAGCAATAACTTAAAAGAAATTAAAAGAAGTTAACAGGCCCATTAACACATAAAAAATAAATAGAACACTACAAAACAAAAAACAAGTAAGAGGGGCCATTCGGCCTAGTCTCTTTACACTCCCCCTCAAGCTGAGCATAGATATCAATCATGCCCAACTTGCTTATATAGTATATCCATTTTCCTTTTGGAACACCTTTGATCAAGACATCAGCCAACTGCTCTTTTGAAGCAATGAACGGCAAGTAAGTGTATGCTTCCAACTTCATATGTTTGTGCTTGGCAAACAGAATACCTTTTCCTGGAGTGCCTTTCAAGTAATACAAAACCCTCTCTGCAACTACTAAATGTGTATCTCTAGATGAATGCATAATCTGACTAATGACACTCACTACATATGAAATATCTAGCTGAGTCATGCAAAGATATAACAACTTCCCAAGTAGTCTTTAGAACACTCCTCTATCAGAAAATAGTTCACCATCAATAGCAGAAAGGTTGTGATTTAAGTCTATAGGAGTGAAGGCCGGTTTAGCACCAAGTTTGCCAATCTCTACAAGTAAATCAAGACATACTTGCGTTGAAAAATGAAGATACCATCCTTAGATCTAGCAACTTCAATTCCAAAGAAATATTTGAGATCTCCCAAGTCTTTGATTTCAACCTTAGTCTTAAGGAACCGTTTGAGTTTAACCACTTGGTGTCATTGCCAGTAACCACAATGTCACCAACATAAACAATCAAAATAGTATGATCAAACTGAGTCTATGTATATCCAAAAGAAACAAGGGCAGCCCGAAATCTCTCAAACCAAGCTTTAGGAGATTGTCTAAGGCCATAAAGGGATTTATTCAATTTACACACCTTCCTTTGCATTTCCTTCTCATACACCCCTAGAGGTAAAGACATATAGACCTCTTCATGTAAGTCTCCATTCAAGAAGACATTTTTAACATCGAATTAGTGAAGTGGACAATCAAAAATAGCAGCTAGAGACAACATAACCCGAACTAAAGTCATCTTAGCCAAAGGAGCAAAAGTCTCCAAGCAATCAATACCATATATCTGGGTGTAGCCTTTAACAACCAACCGAGCCTTAAGCCTCTCAATAATACCATCAGAATGATACTTGATAGTAAACACCCATTTACAACCAACTGCTTCCTTCCCCTCAGGCAAGTCCACGATCATCATAGCATCCCTCCATTTTGGTTTTGGACAAGGCTTCCGGTACGGATCTGGGAATCACATGTATAGAAACAAAAGCACGAAAGGGATAATAGGTTGAGAAAGAAGGTTGTAAGACAGGTGTTTGGAGATGTAATGGGCAGTATACTTCCATTTTCTTTTGCAAAGGGAAATAAGAAGATCAAGGTCTGGGAAGGTAGAAAAAGGGACAGAGGAAGGCTGACTTGTGACATTAGTAGTGATGGGAGGTGCAAGAGGCTCTGTTGAAGGAGTGGAAACAACTTGCTCATACTTGAGTCTTTGTCTTTGGTACCATCTTTGGACAATAAGATGTGAAGAAAATGTAGGAGGATGAGCTGGAGGAGGCTTCTAGCAACCTTAACCACATGGCAGTTCTTCCTTTCTGCCACTCTATTTTATTGTGGAGTGTAGGAACAAGAACTCTAATGAATAACCCTAAAGGCATCAAAATAGGATGAAAGGTTCTTCTCAAAATATTCTTTGGCATTATCAGTTCGGAATATTTTGAGTCAGGTGTTAAACTGGATAAGAATAAGTCCATGAAATTTTTGCACAATAATTGGTACTTCATCCTAGGATCTCATAAGGTAAATTCATATATAGCGAGAAAAAATCATCAATAAAAAGGATAAAATACTTGTAAGCCCCCATAACAGGTAAATGGTATGGCCCCCACACATTAGAGTGCACAATATGGAAAAGAGAAATTGATCTTTTATTACTCATTGAATAAGACTATCTACAATGTTTTGCAAGTTCACATGACTCACAATGAAGACTCAACAAAGATATTCCTGTAAACATGTCGGGAAACAAATGACTCGAAGTAAAAAAAGGTAAATGACCAAAACACAAATGACATAACATGACTTTATCAACTGACTCTGATAAAACAGACTCCAAAGCTACTCCATTAGGTGGTCCAAGAATTTTATCAAGTGAATCCAGCAAGTATATTCCATTCACCTCATGGCCACTACCAATAATCCTCTAAGATTTCAGTTCTTGAAAAACACAATAAGTAGAATAGAAAGTTATGATGCAGTTCATGGATTTAGTCAAGCTCCTAATAGATAAGAGGTTGGTATTAAGCTTAGGGACATGAAGAATAGAGGATAAAACAAGGGTGTCAAAGGCTTCGATATCTCCTTTGCCAGACATGGGGGCAAGGGACCCATCAATAAGGGATATCTTATCTCTACCAGAGAAGAGCTGATATGAGCAAAAAAGGTTAGATATGCCGGTAATGTGGTTTTATGTACTAGAATCAATAACTTAAGGGATTTTATGATTACCTGAAACAGTAGCAAGATTTGTAGAAGCATGAGTAGATGATTGGGAAAATGCGGATGAAGAAGTGTTGCCTGAAGAGTTGGATGCTGCAACAGTGATCTCCAAATGATTAATTAACCTCCCGTACCTTTCAAATTCTGCCTTTACTGCTGCCAACTGCTCCATAGCAAATTTCTCTTCACCTTCTCTATTTCCGTCTTTAGGTACTGTAGCAACATTTGCATTCTTAAGCTTCCCTATCTAACCATTCTTCTTAAGATTGTTGTTGTTGTTGTTCTGATTGTCCGAGAGAAACTCTGGATAAATTTTCCAGCAAGTATCCTTAGTATGTTTCAGTTTCTTGCAGTATTCACAGATCACTTCTTTCTTCTCAATCAGACCTTTTGGCTTTATCCCAACATGTGCAAAATGCTTTGAAGGTGGTCCATGTAACTGTACTTGTAGCCTACTTTCTTCACTGCTCACCATAGGATATGCTTGAGCAAGGGTGGCTTCCCTTGGCCAGAATATTCTTCCTAGTCATGTCAAAATCAGGGTTGAGTCCTATAAGAAACTCAAACACCTTGTTTCTTTCTATTAGTTTCCTGGATGCCTTTGCCTCCTTGGTGCTTTCCCACACAATTGTCTCCATAATATCAATCTCCTACCACAATGACTTTAATATGGAGTAGTAAACTACCACACTCTTCTCTCCCTATCTCAGATTGTTCACATCATTCTTTAACTTATAGACTCTTGCAACATTTAACTTTTGAGAATATGTTTCTATAACACAATCCCAAATCTCCTTGGCTGAAGTCATCCAAAGGAAATGCTAACTTATGGGGGGCTACACAGAGTTTACAAACCGTCCAATCACTGTGTAGTTCTCCTGCACATTTTTCATATGTAGGATCAGTCTCTTTAGGTTTCTTCTTACTGCTTGTGAGATACCCCAGTTTACCTCTAATGCAAACATAAATTCGTATAGATTATGCCCAAGTTAGGTAATTTGTTTCTTCCAGTTTAATTGTAGTCACACCTAGGGGTGAGCATGGGTTGGTTTAGTTTGGTTCCACGGCAGAACCTGGAACCTACCCTATAGGGGTCGGTTCCAAGTCTTTGGAACTAGAACCTACCTTGTGAAGGTCGGTTCCAGGGTTGGTTATAGCCTTGGTGGTTTCGGGGTCAGTTCCAAGGTCTACCCAAGGAACCTGTTCTTTCTTTACTCCCCTTCAAAAAAAGGAAGCATGATCTTTAAAAACTTGATTTTTAATAAATGTAATATATAATTTAGAACTTATATTATCTTTATTGATTAAATTGAGTAACTTAATATGTAGATTATCATTATATGGCTGAAAACTTATAATTTAAATTTTAAGTTTTGTAAATATTACCTTTTACATTACTTATTGTACACATTCAAATATTAAAATGAAAAAAAAATGATCAAATAACTTAAGTAAATGTTCAAGTGAGGCCATGGCCTTTGTAACCGTAAGTGCTTGGGTTTAAATCTTCACATCCCCAAAAGTATTTTGGGGTTTATTTCAAGGCAAGCTAAGTTCCAAGGCAGGTTCCACCAAGGCCAACCAAGGTCGGTTCATCGGATCGGTTCGAGTAGGGTAAATCCATAGACCCTAGAACCGGCTTGGGTGGGGGTCAGTTCCAAGAATTTGGAATTAGACCCTACCTTATAACAGATTGGGTAGGGTCAGTTCAAGGTCGGTTCCATTCGGTTCCGAGTAGAATGTACCCATTTGCTCACCCCTAGTCACACCGGTCAAAAGGGAGTCTACTGGACCAACCCCAGATACTAGAATCTGCTTCATTTCACTTCCAGATTGCTCCATTGATCAAACAAAATTCAAAAAAAAAAGTTTTCAGTCTTTATGAACCTAACTTATGTTAGTCCAGTACCCAAGGACTCAAAATCTAGGGTTTCATTGCACCCAGCTGCCGGGAAAGAGAAAAGTAGCCACCCCTACAAGAGCTCTCCAAACTTCTTCCAACTTCAATCGCCCTCTTCTACAGATCAAAAGGAACCTCCCAACTCCTGAGCACCACACCCAATCCTTCTCTTTAACCTATAACTGAGAATCTCTCTAGTCAGTTAGGGTTTTGGACAAAAGCAGCAGCTTCACTTCTTGGCAATCTACAACCAGTTTTAACTCTCCAACCCTCTACCAACTAGGGAAAAACAGTTCTCTAATCAATCAGAAACGTAGCTATCCATACACTGCTCTAATCGAAGGGTGTATGGGAAAAGAAAGAAAAACAAAAAAGGAGGAAGGACCACTCTGATACCAAGATGTGAATCAGTCCTCTTAAGTCTGGTATTAATTTCTGATTACAGCAATAAAAAATGAAGAAAATAAGAGAGATGCAACAGAAGAGAAGAAGAATAAGAAGAAGATTGAGAAGATGGAGAGGAAGAAGAAGAGAGTTTGATGGTTCCCCCTCTCTCCCCTCACTAATCTTTTATTAATATGAACTAATCAAAATAATTACATGTCTGCCCTTAAGTGGCTAGCCAGCTGAGCAATAACTTGAAAGAAATTAAAAGAAGTTAACAGGCCCATTAACACATAAAAAATAAATAGAAAATACTAAACAAAAAACAAGTACTAGGGCCCTTTCGGCCTAGTATCTCTACAATGTAGGCCTAGCTCAGCTCTAGTCTTTAAAGAATGTTTATTGGTCTTGTTGATCAGAATTTTATGGTTGTTGATGGCTGTAATGGCTTCTTGAAGGAATAAGAGAGAAAATAGGGATAGAAAGAAGAGAGAAAATACCTGGAACCACTCACCATAGTTAGCATAAGCTGAAGAAAACTCAATATATTTCATTGCCTTTGTGTGAAACTTCCATACATATTTATAGACTCTAAACTCATAATAATCCTAGGAATCAAACTGTTAGACTCATAATAGTCCTAAGAATCAAACTGTTAGACACTTAGACTTAATAATCCTAGTAGGACTCAAACTAAGTTGTCATATCCTATTTCAATTCAAAGAAGACTCTGTTATAGACGCATTCATCGGGAAAAAGTATCATCGCCGCTGGCAGCAACAGGAACCTGACCCACCGCCAGCAGCAGCAGTGATTCAATGATCCTCGTCCTACCCAGTTCGGCAACAGCAGATTAGATTAGATCATCTTGCTTGTTCTTATCTTATTCTATTGCTCTTATCTTATCTTATTCTATTGCTCTTATCTTATCTTATTAGTGGATTATCAGATTAGGATTAACTTATCTTATCCTTAGCAAGATAGAACTAGAAGTCTCCCTATTCAGCAAGGAGACTCCCTAAGATTAGAACTCTTGTAATCTCCTATTTAAGGAGACACCATTATTGAATGAGATATCGAATATTCAGTTAAAGAAGTGAGTTAGGAGAGTTGATGATCTCTTGAACAAATCACCAAGGTGCCAAGATAGGTTCATCATGAGCAGGAAGGAACAAGGGAAACCAGGAGGTTTTCCCCGTGGACCGACCCGTGACGAGATCCTATTCTCGGGCCCTCAACAGACTCAATAACTTTAGTAAAAACTAGAGACCAAAGGACAAGGGAAAAAAACTAGCGACCGAATTTTTTGGGGAACCCCATGATCTTTGTCCTTAGATGCCGCAGGTTTAATGTATCATAGCTTGTAAGTTATATATTATTATCAAAAGTCTAGTCCGCTCCGCCACCCTCTTACCCCTTATACACACAACCAAAAAAGAATACCAAACAAAATTTAAAATGAAAGGTGGCTTTGGTCTTTTATGTCATAACGCCATTAATACAATCGTGTCCACCGAGACAGGAGACTTGATGTAGTATAAACAAAGAACAATAAGGAAGGATGCAAAATCAGACTCTGAAACAGTCATATTGATAGATGAAAGAGTGAGGAGAAAAAGTCGTGTCAATGAAAATAGACATCAGTAAAACTGTACATTTACAAGCATGCACGTGTATCACTTATACATGGAAACAAGAAGAAAATTCTAAATGAAACCAAGCAACATAAACAAACCCAGAAAACAGAACATGAAAGAGATTGGAATTGTAAAATTAGAATTAAGATGCCCAGATATCAATTGAACATTTATAGGAGATTAGTGAAAAAGGACTCACTTGTGGGCACTGTATTCATATTCCAAATTCATGAGTTCTTGAGAAGAGGGAGGGCTGCTTTTCTGGGGAAGAACACTGAAATTCCTCCCGTTGCAAGCCCTCTTCAGGAAACACTGTAGAGGTCTCCTGGTCGCCATTGATGATTATTCCAACACTCAAAATTAATCAAGCGAACAACTGCTGTTATAGATCCTCCTCAAACTACAGAGCAAACCCAGATCCTAAAACGGATCAAATTCATCCAATTCTCTCTATCTACCCCTCTCTGCAACTGTCTCCCTATCTATGTGCTAGATTTCTCTGGCCTTGTGTCTATGCATTTGGAATGAGTATATCCATGCATGATCAAACTATAGCAACTAAAAAAAGGCAACGGAAAGAGAATTTTTAATTCAATTCTCCAAAGAATTCCAGAGCTGCCCCCAGTTCAGCGGTTTTGTTCTTCATCCTAAACCCATTCCTCGCACTCACCAAACCATTTCTCCTGCTCTTGCAAAACTCGACCAGATTAATTCACCATGTGATCTCTATTCACGTGGCAAATTTCATTATCAGTTTATCTTTTTCTACGTGGCAAAAAAAGTGGTAGATCAAAATGCTTACTTGACGGCATAATGGACCGACATGGCGACATTCGACAAGAGTGGATATGTGGAATGGGTAGACGGAAGGATTTTTTGGTCATTTGAGGTGGCAAAGATCCGAAAAATTTTCGACGGTGAAGATGTTGCGGTACACGTCAAGGTCCACCAGCCTTTGATGATTCCAACATGTGCGGCCAATGGATTCGATAGTGCCCAACTGTCCACCGTTGGATTAGAAAAACTTATCCGAATGGTGGTGCGCAATGAGTTGGGTAACACTGGAAAAAGAAGTATGAAGATCAGACGGTTAAAGATTATCTGTGGAATGTGGGGCCTAGTCTTCAGAGTCGAGACGCTCCGTCCTGCAATTATTGGCTGGCCGGCTGCAAATCATGCAAGGAATAGACCAGGGGGACTGTATCAGCACTATCTTTTGCTCTCGAGATGGGATAATGTAACGGAGATCCACCCTAAAATCGAGAATCGTTGGATTAGAATATGTTACTAAATTTTGAGTAGATTAATGGGCCCACTTACCTTTTGGAATAAGTGTGCTGTCAATTATTTGGAGAGAGTCTAAAGTCACGGCTTTTGTTAAAGGAATAGACCGATGACATGACGCAGACTCAGACCTTTGCGGCTTTGCCTAATCCTTTTAGGAGTGTTAAAATACGATTTCGATTAGTGGCCAAGAGGAAGAGGTCCTATGCAAACCTTTGGATTATAATCTTTGTATCTTTTGGCCACGAATAACAATAAAACAATAAAAAAAGATTCCGATCAAACACCCCTATTTTCTTTGTGTTTGTTGGCAATGCAAATCTGAATAGAATCCAAAATTTTGCATCCTACAAACAGATGTAAATTTTGCATCGCTTTCTTTCTAAGGCTACAACTTGGGTCGGGTTGGTCCGAACCCAACCCGAAAAAGTTGGGTTGATGTTCAGGTTTGGGTTAGGGTTGAAATTTATGAACCCGACTTTTACTTTGGGTTGGGTTAGGATTGAACCCTTAACCAACCTGACCCAACCCGAACCAGACTCTATAGTACATGTCATATATAAATATATGTTATGTGTAAATATATAATATACATTGATTTGTTTAGATGCATGATATTTGTATAGCTCCCACGACATAGTATCATGTATTTCTTTTAAGATAATTATTTCTCTTAATCCTAAACAGAAAGACTAAAACCTTAATAACATTATTTTATGTTTTTTGAAAATTTTATTCTTCATCTCCTCTATGTTGTTTGTCGCCCAAGAAAGATCTATTGTAAGGCATAACTCATAATAAACTATAATCATTTCTAACACTTATTTTTCTGAATTGTGTACCTAAAGAACAAAAAAAAAAACATCAACAAACAAATACTAATGAAAAATAGGACTAGTATATGTAGTGAAAGTTGAGTTAAGATATAAAATCGAGAAATTCTATGAGGTTTTAAGGGATGAGAAGAAGCTTGGGTTGGGCCCAACCCGATCCGAAATTGGCTTCAAGTTGGGTTGGGTTGAGTTAGGGTTGAAGGAATTTAGTTAGGGTTAGGGTTAGGGTTAGGGTTGGGTTGGTCGGGTTGAAGGTCGGGTTGGGTTAGGGTTAGGGTTTAGAACTTAGGGTTGGGCTAGGGTTGGCCTCGATCTGACCTAACCCCGGCTCGACTTACAGCCCTATTTCTTTCTAACTTTTCCTTCATATATAAATTGCATATCACATCATCTTGCTTCCTACCTCACTTTCAAACAAATAAACCTCCACTGATGATTTTGAGGATCACATTATTTTACTTTTTAATTGTTACAAACATTTAACACGGTAAAATCAATACTTAAGCAAAACTAAATTAGAATTTACACTCTTATACATTTATACCAACACAAATGAAATTCATACTTAAGAAAAACTAAATTAGAATTCTGTGGTATCTCAGAGTATCCATTTTAGTGGAGATGTATGAACCATTATCAATAAAGTGAATGACATATTTCCATGTCCTCTAGTTGATAAAATAATTAATAAGTATACAATCCGATGAGGGGTGATTTGGCCCAACCTATTAATTAGTTGATACGTGGACGCAATTTGCTGACAGTGATTTGATATTTTATGCCACCTCAGTAGGCCGGGACACCTTGGGTACCTCGAGCACCTCAACAAGAACTGAATTCCGAGTAGTTAGGATGGCCCGATCAACTGAGGTAAGCCTTATCCTTATCCCATCCGGCCCGATCAGTAAGCTAGTTGTCTCCAAGCTCTTTAGGATCACGCTGCACAATTGTAGGTCTTATCCTTATCCCATCCGGATCAGACAGACACAATAAGCCTTATCGGCTAACATGAAGTCCACCTCCTGGTGCGGAGCGGTCTCCTAACAGCGCGGACCGAGAATCTCAGAGGTGTTTCATGAGATTTACGGCAACTCACATATATAAGGGGCATCTACCCCAGTGACACAAGGTACGCGCGATTTATTGCTTACTAGCCTACTTGCTATCAAGCTTTAAGCTCTCACACATAATGTACTGACTTAAGCATTAGAGCGACCACACCGGGTAAGCCACTTTGGGTCCTCTGAGCCTTGTTTCCTTGCAGTTTGACTGACCAGCTAAGCAACCGACGTCCGAGTAACCCTCCAGCTAGAAGCAACCAAATCGCACTCCATCAATTGGCACCGCCTATGGAAAACACAACAAAAAGCTAAGTTTTCGCTTTTAAATCACCTACCTTTCTTCTGCAATAATTTATTAATGGCATCATCAAGCAACATCAGCAAGAGCATTGAGATGATAGTCACTGGGGGCAGGACCAACCTGCATTTAACCTAGAGATCCCCTCTGTGACCATTGGACAGTCCACCTTCCCCCTCACCATCCCAAGGGTATTGACAGTTCAAAGGTAGACATTCATCACCTAGTCAGTCAGCGCACCCCTAACGCTTGGGACCCTTCAATAGGTTGGCATCCATCACCACCCCGACAAGTAGTGGACTAGAGAAATCAGCCACAGCACAACCATCAAAGCGATCAACAACAGCGATCACGCAACGATCAACACCACCGCTGTCATGACGAACAACAAATCAGCAACTAGCAACACAGGGTAAGAGGCGAGGACCCAGCTCGAGACTCCTCTATTCCCAGTAACAACCAAAACCTAGACCGCATTCGTGAGAATGCCAACAACAGAGACTAGCTCCCTCCTTGCAGCAGTGTCCGAGATTGGGAGAACACCAGGGTCGAGATACCAACCAGCACTAAGGTAAATAGCACCAACCAGGAAGCAGCGAAGAAGCGACACCATCATCGAGCATGCCACACCTTGGGTAAGAGTAGTGCACCAATAGTAGTAGTGGAGAAAAGACGAGAAGAAGTGAGCTCAATAGCTGCATAGTCGGCTCCTATTTTACTAAGCTAGCCTTCCCCCTTAGCACCAGAGATCATCTCGGCCCCAAGGCCAAAAAACTTTAAGACACTTGCCCTGGAGACCTATGACAGAAACTTAGATCTGAACGACCATGTGGACAATTTCCAGTCCCTGATGTTGCTCATCGGGGCAGATGACGCTAGCCTTTGCATGGTCTTCTCGACAACCTTCAGAGACACAACAAGGTCGTGGTATAGGAACTTACCTCCAGAATCAATCAGAAGTTGGGTGTAGTTCGTGGACCTGTTCACTACCCACTTCGTCACAAGTAAGAAGTGCCCCAAATCTGTGATGAGCCTTTTGAATGTAGTTCAGTGGGAGAGTGAGTCCTTAAGAGACTACATAAGGAGGTTCAACTCAGAGAGACTACAGGTACCCAACCTCGACCGTGCCAAAAGGGAGTTCACCAATCGGATTTCCATTGGCATCTCGAGTTGAACCCTCCAAGGACCATGGAGATGTTACTCGATGAAGCAGACAAATTCATCAAGGCGGAGGAAGCTCTCGGGTGCGGGTTAGAGCTACACCAGGCTGGGAAGAGGAAGAGAGCATAAGAGAAGAACAGTAGCAGCAAGCATCGGCAAAAGAGAAAGTCACCGAAAAGAAGCAAGTTACCGCATAGCAGGCGAAGCAAGTCGCTAGAGAAGAGCCGGTCACCACCTCGGGATTCTAGGTTAGGTCGGTGATCTATAACCCCTCCTATCTAGAGGTCCAGTTATACCGCCCTGAACGCCAAGCGGGGTGAAATTCTAATGGCCAGCAAGGACACCAGCTATGTCAAGTGGCCACCCAGGGTTGCAGCGTGGCATCAGGGAAAGCATCAGTCCGGGAGCTCGAGCGCGAAGACGAGAACCTACCGAAGCACCCTCGAGTAGAGGAGGTGATCTACTTCACCGAGGATGATGCTCGTGGGATCCAATATCCGCACGATGACACCTCGTTGTCAAGATGGTAATCAATTACTTTGAGGTAAAGCGTATCCTGGTAAACTCGGGCAGTTCCACGGATATCATCTTCCTAGAAGACTTCAACAAGCTGAAGCTGGAGTGGAAGGATCTTCAGCTGGTAGATACACCCCTGGTCGGGTTTAGTGGAGATGTAGTGAAGCCCCTCACTAGAATCATGGTTCCGGTTGCAGCAGGGACTAGGCTCAACACAATAAGGTCTGAGCACATGTTCCTGGTGGTCACCACCCCATCCCCTTATAATGCCATTCTAGGTCAGCCAATGTTGCATGCACTACGTGTGGTGGTGTCAACCTACTATTTGTCGATGAAGTTCCCAACGAACTATGGAGTAGGGGTAGTATGGGGTGATCAACTAGAGTCACGGAAGTGTTACGTGGCCGCACTAAGGGCTAGGCCAAGTTGGCGGACGACATGGAGTTAGAACCACCCCCGAGCACACCAAGGAGCAAGCTGCACCGATGAAGGAGACAATCCAAGTCCCGATCTCCGATGTTGAGCCTACAAAGACTCTCTAAATCGGCGCTCGCCTAAATGAACCACTTCCGTTACAACTGGTAAGCTTTTTATTAAATAATT